AAAAAAAAAACATACAAACATTTTTCGTAATTTGCTGAAATTTTACTCTTATAAGGAGTTCTGCACGGTTATTTCAAAATTGAACTGGGTTATTTTTGCTACCGGCAACCAATTTTTGAAAAACCCGGGTTTTTAGTGTTGGTTGCCAATTTCTAGAAAAGCGAGGTGGTCATAGCGATTTTTTTTATTTTGGCTAATTCAAAATTGAAATCGGTTTTTTGTACCGGTTACCAATTTCGAAGCTAATTTTTTTCGATTATCAAAACACCTACATATCCAATTTCACCTAGCGCTGGCGGAGCTGACGTGCGGCATATCTGCCCCAGGGTAGTCCGCATAAAATCACAGGGTCTCCAATCCGCTCATTTCTTGATGCGATATACTCGTGGGTACGCTTCCTAAGTAACTTATCCTCAACGCAGTTTCTAGGTATATTACTGTGTCCGGACGAATATATAAGGCTAAGTGGGAAATATTTTGACGCAACCGAAAAAGAGGTCAGGTATACTGGTACTGCTTCCTTCCTTCTCAACCACTCAACCATTGAGGCAATGTGAATAGACAATGAAGGGATTAGCGCCAGTCTTCCAATTCAGTAACCTGTGTTATCGAAACTGTGTTCCTAATTCTTACCACAGTTCCTGCTGTAGTCTTAACTGAAATGTCGACGAGCAAGAGTGGCTTAAATTGTCCCATTAATTCAAGTACGGCCGTCTTGTTGCAGCCGCTCCAGTTTCCTTACTAGAGTGTTATTCTCTGGTACATGCAACCAGACGAGGATTCTATGGAAAATTATACACTCAAACAGTTAATAACTTTGAGAGAAATTCCCCGTCTCTAAACAATTGACCCTCCCTTTCTAGTACAGAAAAAGCAAAGCGAATGTCCTAACTACGTGGGAGAGCTTCCTCAATCCACTTTTTGGTTGCATGCAGATGGTCTCAACCGATCTACCATTACCGTACACACACTGAGCATTTGATTTTCGATGCTGCGGTTTTTGTTTTGTTATGTGTAGTTTAATATCGTCTCTCAAGCAGGGATCACACGATTTGTACATTTGTACACAAAATGCCAAATTTAGATTTGTCCACATTTGCGCATTTGGATAGCGTTGTACAAATGATTTATTTTGCGATCAGACGATTTGGCTGTCAAAGATCCAAATGATTTGGCACACATTTGCGCACGGCAGTAAAGTGACAAATATTGTCCACATTCATTCACACGATTTAACCATTTGGTCATAAATACTTAAACAGCTGATCCATACTGTCAACCATACTTTTGCATTTATGATTTCGTGAGATTTGAAATGAAATAAACAAAAATAATATATACGCACAGGTACTCAGAATTTTGAATACACCCTCAAAATCTGGGCTAAAAAAACGCGTTTTTCATAGGTTGAAGCATATACTTGCTCGTAACTTTATTTCTGTTTGTCCGATGAAAAATACTTACATATGCCATTTAAGAGAAAACATTTCGTTGTTTACAACCATTTATATATGGTTAATTTGTCTTGAGAATGGCCACCCTATGTATGTATGAAATCTACCACATATTCGCGTTTTTGAGTAGTTTTATTTTTGCTCAACATAATTTTCTTAATCTTAAGAGCAAAAATTGTCCAACACTAAACACTAACAACAAGCAGAATGGGAGGATAAAATATACTCTAAAATATTAAATTTTCTCAATATTCAATTTTTCGACATCAAACGTGGTTTTATTGTGTTAAATTGCAAAATATATGATTTATAAAAAGAATTAATAGCGAAAATGATAAAACCGGCGATTTTTGTGAAAGGATTAGCAAATTTCAGTGCATCTAAAATTTCTAAAGCGTTGTTTACTTTTACTTGAGAATTGTCAAAATCGGCAAATCCCAAGTAGCAAGCCACATTTGTTCGCTACATCGTGATGTGATAAAAAGAAAAGCTGGCAGCACTCCGCAAGGTTCCAGAAATCTCTCAAAATATGTTTGAAACTGTCAAGGAAAAAAATTGCCAAAACTCAACGCAATTTTTATCAACTTCAATCTTGCACTTTATTAAACTAAAATTAATTTTGTTTTAGATTCTAATTAAAATGTTTGCAATTTAGGTGGAACCTTGCAGATTTTTTTTAATTTTTGTACAAAGTTTGATCCAAAACCTGAGATATACCACATTTTTTTGAAGTCTACCACATTTTTTTCCAGATTCTACCACACAAATTTTTTTAAGTCCGATCACTGATTCCTTTGCCATTTCTTGAGCAAAGCGAAATGTCTTATCTTGAATCACATACATATATACGTATTTTTCACCGGGTAAACAGAAATAAAGTTGCGAGCAAGTATACCTGTGCGTCACCCTTTGAAAAACGCGGTTTTTGACCATAAGTCCATATTTTGAGGGTGTATTTAAAATTCTGAGAATGCAGATTTTACTGCTTGAATAGACCTACAACAAGTGTGAACCTCGAAAAAACTATATAAATTTTTTTTGTCACACAGTGTAATTTAGATCGTCTTTAATAATCTGTATATCGCCGTTTAAAGTACAAAACCGCGTATCAACAAAAAGGCAAAACCGCGTATGTCAGGTTGCAAAAATTATTTTCTAGAGAGTAAAAACACTCATATTTCAAAATGGTTCTCTTTTTTATAAAGCAATAGCATTTCTAGATAGTATATTTCAGGACGAATGGATAAGGATTTAGCCAACAGCTTCTGTAACCAAATCCAATTTTTGGCAGCAAATGTCAGTTACGCGATTTTGCAGAATGACGATACACGGTTTTGTACTTAATACGACGATATGCATGTATGAATATGTGTATAGCCAGCAAAAACTGCGGAAAGAGATCCGAAAACTGAAAGAAAGGTGAATAGTAAAGTGCCACGAAGGGTTGTGAAACAAATACTTTTCCGGTTGGTTTTCTGAAATTTCTCATTCTGAACTTCACATATGCTTTTTCATAGTTAATTATACTCAGAAATTAATTATACTTTTATAAATACTTTTTAATATGTTCGTCTGCCGGCATAAGAACCTGGAACCTCATGAAAGCTTAAAAATAGTCGCACGCTTCTCTGCACACTCAGCTACTGTCGAATACGTATATGTACATGTTTTGAAATGTTCAGTTTGAGCAAATATTTTAAAATTATTGTTTTCAAATAACGTGATATTTTTCGGTAGTTGTCGGATACGAATATTATATTAAATATTAAAATTTTTCCAAAATTGGAAAATACAAGGGTTCACAAGCACGAAATGGCAATACCGCTCAACAATATTTGTATATTTGTCACTGGCATTTGTCATCAAGTGGCAAATCAGATATTTGGTCATTTGCTTAATTTTTATTTGGCTTTTGTAGCAGCATTGTGTTCACACGATTTGGCCACCAGGGTTGTTTTTCATTTGCCAACAGAAGGCAAATATTTGGCTTCTCTGATAAATGACAAATGTAATTTAGCGTTCACATGATTTGTCTATGAATTTGACAAATTTTTTGCCAAATGTACAAATCGTGTGATCCCAGCTTCAGATATGTATTGCTATATGGGCATTCCCATGGTGGCGCACGTGACAGTCGTACGATTTCAATGTGACACAAAAAAGGAATACCATTTGTTTTCTTTAGTTTTTTTGGGCCATTGTATAGCACATAATTAGCTCTATATTTAACCGAAAAATGAAATCAATCGAACTGCTTGGTCCTGAAGTATAAGCATTTAAAGAGAGTGTCGTTACGTGACAAAAAATGGAAGTTGATTTTTTCTTTTCTTGCAAAATCGCAAAACTCTGCGAATTGTGGATGGCTATTTTGATGAAACTTATTTTGATATGATTTGGAGCTATTCTAGTTGTTTTTAGAGTTTTTTGAAGTAATGCAAATTGTTTAAATTTTCTTTTACAACCCCAAGTGTGAAACGTGACGTGACGTGGCGTGACGTGACATAAATTTCCATCGTTATATTTTTGTTAATATTGCTTTTAAATGAATTTTCAACGCAAATAAAACATGTATTTTATGTAGAATATACTTTATATTTTGACTTCAGCGCCAATTCAGGGTCAATTTATTGGAAATCTATGATTTATTATGTTTCAACCACATACGCCAAATTCGAACCAAATCGGACCACAAATACGGTTTTTCGAAATATCTCGACCTTGGCACCACCTAGGAAGACCATTTTATGCAAACATGATTCTACTTACATAGCCAGTATATATTTTAAAAAGCAGACAAATCGGCCCGTAAATACGTTAGATATAAAACTTTTATTTTTTTTGTCGTGGTGGACCTTCCGATGGAAACACCCATATGTAACAAAAAATGCTTCACAATAACGGCCAATCAAGATAAGGTTGTACATTCATCCTCTCTGTCCATCATTGAACCAACATTAAGAAAAAAAAATGTTTAAAAAACGACTAAGTAGGTAGGTTGTAGGTATGAAGAAAAGTGTTTTTTTGCAGACTATGTACTTTTTACTATATTTATGAACATAATCGAAATTGGCTTCCACTATTTTACTTCTAACCGCAATAAAAATTCCAGCTCGTTGGCATTCTTCTCATCGTTCTTGGCAGTCTCATGCTGGATGGCCTAGGAGAAGTGAAGTCGTCCAAAATTATTGAAAACGTTGATGTCATACCAATATTGATCATAGTGCTGGGTGCATTGATATTCATTGTGTCATTTATGGCCTGCTGTGGTGCGATCAAGGAGATCAATTGTTGTGTTCTAATAGTAAGTGCGAGCGCCTCAAAATGAGCAAAATTCATGTTTAAAAATCGCCCAATTTCGTTTTTATTATTTTCATCTAGTATGCAGTTTTTATGCTCATCCTATTGGGTCTGCAAATCGCGCTCGTTGTTTGGGTTTTCGTGAGAAAAGATCAGTTTCTCAAAACTATGGACTCCATTGTTTACGATGCATTTGAGGACAGAGACGATCAAACTGATAATTCAATGAATTTAATCCAAATCACGGTAAGTACCGATAAATGAGTTAAGAAATGGCTGCTGAATTCTTAATTTTTTTTTACTTTCCCCAAATAGTTCAACTGCTGTGGCTACACTGATTACAAAGATTATAACAGCACAGGCGTGCCTCCTTCTTGCTGTGGCTTTTCTGAAACAACCGCCTCATGTCCATCGTCTATTTACACTACCAAAGAAGGTTGCAAAACGGCATTTTACAATTTCTGGGATGATAATTTGAAATATGTACGATTTGGTGGCATTGTGGTGATTGTCATCGAATTTTTGGCTTTGGTATCAGCATGCAGTGTTGCCGTATACATACGAAAATCATTGAATTCGAATAGGCCAAATGGGGCTTAGTGTAAATTTGAGTTAATCGTTAACAGTCAGGAGATTGCAATTCTTTTTTAATTTGGCTAAGCTAAGATGGCCATCGTCATTGTCAGATAACATTCTCAAAAGTTTAGTTTATTGAAAATAAAATTCCTAAATGGAAATTCTATACTGACGAAATAATGTCTTCTTGGTCACTGTATGCGGTAAAAGACTTTGCCTGCTTTACAACCAGCATAAATTCTCCTAAAAATAAGTTTAATTTTTCGCTGCCCTATATTAAAATTTAACGTGATTCCGACAGGGAAGTGTTATTTGAACTCTGTGGAACTTTCCCCGATATGATCTATAAAATGCCGTGCATTCCTACGGATAATGATGATCCAATGAAAATACATATCGTTAGAAATAAATGGAATCCAGAGGCCTGAGCTGCACTTGTGCCAATTTTTTTTTTATGCTTCCTCAAACATTTTACACATGATAATACATCTTTCTGGCCGCTGTGACAGAGTAGTAGGGCATGCGTACTACTACTCCGTTGGGCCTAGGTTTGATCCCGGGAAATATATGAATTGAAAAAAAAAAATCCTAACACCGTTTTTCGCCCCAGCAAGGGGTTGTGCGCTGGGTTTGGAACGCGCCACGTAAACCAGGCTCCAATAAAAAGAGAACAAAGCTCGTATGAGACCCTGTCCCCCATTTGATGACGACCACGGCAAACGTTTTAAGGGACTACGGTTTGAGGGCAAGCACTTGGAATGTCCGGACCCTTAATGGGGAAGGTGCCTCTGTCCGACTCGTTGATGTCCTCGTAAGGACGAAAGCTGACATCTCGCCATCCACGAAATACGCCCATGACCCGACATCGACCGATCGTGCGATTTCAGTCCCAAGGTTGGCAAGGAAGGCATCTTCGGCGCAACTGTCTGATGTTTGAGAAGATAATAAGAGCTGCAGAACTGAACCGCTCAGGAACAATTTTTCGACATCACCGGCAACAATAGGTCTGGTGGTCAACGAGGACAAGACAAGCTATCTACTTGCATCGAACAAACAGCCAGCGCATTCACGCCTTGGCACCCACGTCACTGTTGACAGTTATAATTTCGAGAAGTGAGAGAATTTCGATTACTTGGGAACCAGCATTAACACCGATAATAATGTCAGCATCGAAATTCAACGCAGAAACACTCTTGCCGAATAGTGCTTCTTTGGACTGAGTAGGCAATTAAGGAGTAAAGTCCTCTCTCGATGTACAACTCTACACTTTATATCAGGGGTTCTTAAACTTTTAAGATGATGGAACCCTTACTAAACACCTTTCATTTTATTGGACCCCACATCAAATTACTAAAAATCAAAGGCAGTGCAATTTAAATATGAACAAAAACTTTTACTAGAAATAGTATACATACTTTAAATTTTAATGTGAAGAATGAAATTGTTTCACTCTTATTAATTACACTGGATCACAAATTTTAGTTTGGTTTTTGTTCTCCAGACGCCGCTATCTAATTTCTATATAGAATTGTTCGGTGATTCCGAAAATCGAGTTAATTTGAGTGGTTCCACTTAACCAAGAATAGCTTACGAACCAATTTAACAATCATAACGGAGATAAGTCAAATAAAAGCTAATAAAATTCTCCATAAACCATGTATACATCACTTTCCGATAGAGCTGATAGTTTCTGACAAATTAATTAATCATTCCAGTTTTTTTTTATTCTTTAATGAAAAAATTAAAAAAATCAAACTTTAACAGAAGAAAAATTTTAAAAATAACAGGTTCTGTGCCAAATTTTTGCATTTGTTCTGTTCTTGTCCTGTTCTTTAGAAAAAACTCAAGTTACTGATGAAGTAAATATTTATTGTATGAAATATGAGCAGAAAAGCGTGAAGATATACACATGTAACCATAAGTGGGCGTGGCTACGCCCATTTTCCAAAAATATATAATATTCTTATTTTTCGTCTGAAAATTATTGTAAATAATAATTTTGAGTTAATTATCTTCAGTAGTTACTAAAATATCGCAGTTTTCGTATTTCTGAAAATTACCGTTATATGGGAAGTGGGCGTGGTTACAGTCCGATTTCGCCCATTTTCAATACCAACCTACCTTGGATTAATTTAAACCGACGTACCAAATTTCGTTGAGATATCTCAATTTTTGCCCGAGTTATCGTGTACACGGACGGACGGACAGACAGACATGGCTTAATCGACTTCTCTATTCATTCTGAGCATTTATGTATACATTTGTCTATATCTATCTCGATTCGGTTTGGCTGTTACAAACAACCGTTATGTGAACAAAATTAATATACCCTTGTGCACAAGTGCGCTCGGGTATAAAAATTTGCGCATAACCTGTAATTTGTTTAATTTTTACTTCTGTTAAAGTTTGATTTTTTTTAATTTTTTCGTTAAAAAAAAACTGGGCTGATTAATTAATTTGTCAGAAACTATAAGTCCTATCGGAAAGCGATGTATTTATACAAGGTTTATGGAGAATTTTATTGGCTTTCATCTGAGCAAAAAGTCGTTAAACGCAAATGGAAACGCCTACAATAACGCAACATCTGTAGGAGTTTCCGGACCACCTATGGACAAAACCGACTTCAGCTTTCATCAAGTTGGACAGGACGGATTTGTCTATGCACTTTCTAAAAATGTCACCGCCTAATTATGAGTATCAGTGATCGGACTTCTACCACATTGTGGTAGATCTGCCACTTTTTTGAGCATCTACCACATCTACCACACAAGGTCTGAAATCTACCACATATTCGCGTTTTTGAGTAGTTTTATTTTTGCTCGACATAATTTTCTTAACTTTAAGAGCAAAAATTGTCCAACTCTAACAACAGGCAGAATGGGAGGATAAAATAAACCGTAAAATAGTAAGTTTTATCAATATTTAATTTTTCGACAGGAAACGTGGTTTTATTGTGTAAAATTGCAAAATATATGATTTATAAAAAAGAATTAATAGCGAAAATGTTAAAAAAATTGCGATTTTATTAGTATTAGCAAATTTCAGTGCATCTAAAGTTTCTAAAGCTTCGTTTACTTTTGCTTGAGAATTGTCAAAATCGGCAAATCCCAAGTAGCGGTTTCTGGAACGTGCCACATTTGTTCGCTACATCGTGATGTGGTAAAAAAAATCTGGCAGCACTCCACAAGGTTGCAGAAATCTCTCAAAATATGTTCGAAAAATATCTTGACATGGAAGGAACTGCTTTACATTGTCAAGGAAAAAAATTGTCAAAACTCAACGCAATTTTTAGCAACTTCAATCTTGCACTATATTATACTAAAATTAATTTTTTGTTTTTAATTCTAATTAAAAGGTTTGCAGTTTAGGTGAAACCTCGCAGAATTTTTTAATTTTTGTACAAAGTTTGATCGAAACCTGAGATCTACCATATTTTTTTGAAATCTACCACATTTTTTTCCAGATTCTACAACACAAATTTTTTTTTCAAGTTCGATCACTGATGAGTATCTTGTTAACCGATCTATCAATTTCTCGGTACAGTTATTGCCCTTGGTACAAAAAATGGATATATTGAAAATTTTGGCAATCGGATTAAAACTATGTCCATTTCTCACATCTCGGTAAATTTGAGAAATACACAAGCTCTGATATTTCAACAACTAAGGACGCTTATTTAATACTACAACAAAATGGGAGTGGCACAGCCCATTATATATCGGTAAGCGCTTTATCGTTTGATATCGGGAAAAACGCACTCGCTTATCATGTACATATGGGTATTTCCAAATTAGCATTACGTGACGCTCATATGACAAAGTGTTAAAAAAATGAATTGAAAAATTCAAAATTTTAAAAAGTTGTTTTCTAGATTTTCTTAGCATTTAAAAAAATTACAACAGTGGGTAGTAGCAATTTAAAGATATTAGTAAACTTACGCGCTGGCGTGACGTTGCAAAAAACAGAAGTGGATTTTGACTTTGACGATCACAAAATTGCAAAACTCTGCGTATTGGGCAAGACTAGGGATGGCAGCGATTAATTTAATTATAATGATTAATCGCTATCATTAAATTAATCGATTATTTTGTCCAATTTACGATTTAATTGTATCGTAGTCTTTTGTTTCATTAATCGATTATTAATCGATTGATTGCAAAATAATCGTAAAAATATTTTCAAGAAATATGAATTCGGTAGTTGTCTAAAATCCATCAATCGAACAATCCTTTTTGCTAGCTGCATCGACTTTACTCGCCCCGAGGTTAAAAAAAAAAACTAATTTCAAAGATTCATTAGCAGTAACGAAGTTCTTGCGAAATGAAATAATATGTGCAGATGATCTTATGTAAACGGGTAGCGAGTCGTCCCTAGAATCCGTAGAAAATGAGTCCCATCTTTGGGCCCCTCACATCCACAAGATGAAATGAGTTTTTATTTAAATTGTCAAGTCCTAGAACCAAAGCGGAATATCATGGACTCTAGGGAGAAAATGAAAACCGTTTACCTAAAACTTTACGGACTGTCATAAAAAAAGCTGGTGGTACAGCTACTGAGAAACGCAACCGCTAGGCAACAAAACGCTTATCAAAACTTTTTTTTGCAAACTTGGTTAAATGATAAATAATTATCGCCGCTAAATAAGCATGTTTTATTAGATTTAAAGCTAATTAACAAGAGAAAGAGACATTTTTACAGGGACCGTAACCGTTATGATTTTTATAATAAAAATCAAAATTTAATCGTTATGTTGTGATTTTTATTTTTTCGATCATTTTTAATCGTTATTTTATGATTTTTATCTTTTCGATCATTTTTAATCGTTACTTTATGATTTTTATTTTTTCGATCACTTTTAATCGTTAATGTGTAAGCCGAATGTGCACAGATTTGATTTAAAAAACAGTTTAACAAGGCATGCATATGTACACTAGGGTGGTCCAAATAGTAAAGTCAGAATTGTAATGCTCTCACCCCCTAGGATTGTTCTATATTGGAAAAAGTATACCCCTTATACCTTTAATGAGCATGAAATGGTATTATAACTTTGGTCCGATGTTTGTAAGTACCACAATTAGAAGAGATGGACCCATTGAAATGTACA